AAGGAGAAACTTCCAAACAGCGATGACAATTAACCAGTAAAATAGCTTGCCTTCAGAAATTGTGGGTGCTCCGTCACTGGATATTTTTAAGAAGAGACTAGACAGTCACTTATCTGAAATAGTATAGGTTCTCCTGCTTGAGCAGAGGGCTGGACTAGAGACCTCCAAGGTCCCTTCCAGCTCAATTCTATATTCTAAATGCATTAGCAAAATATGTGGTGAAGCTTACTACTTTAAAAAGAATACATTCAGAGATGGTTTCATGATATATTACTTAATACAGTATATCCGTGCAATATTAAGTAGCAACATCTCCCTTGAAGCAAGTTTGATTCCTGATAATTATATGGACATGTCCATGTTTATTTCTTGGCAATAATGCAAATAATGTGCAATTGCCATTTTTAAGGACTTTTTTTTTAATATCCCAATTTACAGTCCTAGGATTTCCTATAGCTTTCGATCTAAGCCCAACAGAGCCTCACCCACTCTAGATGACTTTTTTTTTCAAAGATTAGCCAATTTCACTAAATGCTACTGTTTGCTTCAATAATTCAGTACATTCAGACAAAATTGAACTAAAATACAATAATATTGAATTGTAGCTTGATCTAAACTACATCCACAGATTAGCCCAGGAAACAATACGTAAAGATTGCAATAAAAGTGGCATTTAAGCAAGCTTAGCATAAACTTTGCAGAGGTTGAATAAACACATATGCATTCTTGCACTTTATACTCTTTATACACAAGGTGGTCTTGACAGCATCACTTTCAGAAATTAAAACCTGGGTTCTAAACATGAGGCTATAATGAAAATCTGTTTGAATTAATCACATTTGGATCAACATCACAGTATTTGGAATAAAGGTCATTACCAGCCAAAATAATTTTATTAAATATTTAATTAAGACTAGTGGGTATATCCTAATATTATTACAGGGCTGTAAAAACCTCTCTGTGTATATCTATTTTGTTCTGATGCTTTGAAGTATAAATCATTGTGATTGGTTGCAATATAGCTCAACATCAGACTCAACAATTTGAAGAGCTCTTTGTGAAATATAAGAACTTACTCCAGGGGCTCCCTAAAAGCTAACATTTATGTACTTAAAGCATTTGAATCCCATTCTTTCACCAGAAAGACTCCAGAACAGCCTACAGATCAATAATGGTAGTCTCTGTCCTTTGGTTTGAAGTCTAAAACCGAATAGCGTAAAACAAAGAAAAGCAAAGGGGAGGGAGGAGGGAGGAAAGGAAAGAGATGAGAAAACAAAGGCATATTTCTATAGTGTACAAGCTGTATTTTTCAACTCATTTTTGCTGGGGATCCAAGGTGATCTCCCTGACTGTGAAATAACTCTAATGTGGCCAGATGTTTTTGTTTTACAGCATGGAGTCATTATGATCTTCATAAGAAACTATTCTAGGGTGATGTATGGTTGAAATCATATAGTCTCATGAGTACGATATATTAAAATGATTGAATTACAATTTGTCACAGATCACTAGACTCCTTCACCCACCTGTCTAATATTCTTTTAACCCAGGAGTCTGTGCAAAAATATGGTGTACTGTATACAGTATCTGCAGCCTGAAAAAATTAGAGAGCTTTTATTTCCCATTCAATTTTTATGTATTGTTAGCACTGAAATGCCACTTCAGTCAATGCTCCTCAGTGAGTTAACAGCCTATCTCAGGTTTTCGTGGATGTTTGTATGTAGGTCTTTGGTTATTCGGGTCTTCTCCCACGTAAAAGATGGGAATGAGACTTCGTCGAAACGTCGTCAAGACACTTCCAATTTTACGTGGGAGAAGACCCGAATAACCATATAATATATATATATATATATATATATATATATATGTTTTCTAGGTTTTGTTCTTTGGTTATTCGGGTCTTCTCCCACGTAAAAGATGGGAATGAATATATATAATTGCAGTATTTTCTGAGGCATAAAACACACTGGGTGATCTTGGACCAGTCAGGAATCAAAAACTGATTTGAAGATATGAAAACAACATAGAATCATAGACATGAGACCAAAAAAAAAGACAAAAAAATAATAATGAACATATACCCCTTTGAATCACAAACTTTAGAAGTGTAATTGTTGCAGAGGAAATCAATCTTGCACATTTAGAAGCTAATATCTTGAAGCTTATGATTTGGGACCAGAGTTTGCTATTTCATTCCTGATAGTATACTACTAGTTGGTACTATACCAGCTAATATTGATATTTGCTCATTTGTTATTCTTTACCAATAGCACTTAGTTAGATTTATATACCACTCCGTGGCATATACAGCATGCTCTGAACCATTTACAACATTAGTATATTGCCCCTGACAATTTGAGTCCTCATTTTACCCACCTCGAAATGATGGAAGGCTGAGTCAATCTCAAGCCCTGTCAGGATTGAACTACTATCTCTTGGCAGAGTTTGCCTGAGTATTACAATCTAACCAGAGGTGGGTTTCAGCAGGTTTGGACCAGTTCTGGAGAACCGGTTGTGGAAATAATAATTCTGACTGGTCCCGCCCCCATCTATTCTCTGCCTCCCAAGTCCCAGCTGATCGGGAGGAAATGGGGATTTGGCAGTAACCTTCCCCTGGATTGGGGATGGAATGGAGACTTTACAGTATCCATTCCCTGGAGTGGGGTGGGAATGGAGATTTTACAGTCCTTCCCCTGCCATGCCCATCAAGACATGCCACGCCCACCAAGCCACACCCACAGAAACGGTAGTAAAAGTTTTTCAAACCCACCACTGATTCTAACCCCTGCAACACCAGGGCTCCACCATTCTTTGGTGGAAAAGCAAATGTTTTACTTATTAAGAGGCAAGACACAGGGAAAAACTGGTATTCATTTGGGATTTCTTTTTTCATGCCACAGAAAAGCATTCCCTTCCCTCCCCCATGCAATTTTATGTAACAGCCAAATGTCTTTATCAGGACAAAGAAAAATTTGAGTATATTGACTAAGAAACATCAAATCCTAAACTACAATATAGTAAGGAAACAGTGGGGAAAAAATGCTTCCAGATGGAATTTTAGAGCACTTCAATCAATACTGAGGTAGAATTGTAATCCAAGGACTTGAACTGTCAAACAGTTCGTTAAATGTTGTCATGATATTATTGCCAACCAGATTAAACTATATAAGAATTATGCTTTCTTGGACCCTGAAATATAATTTTATTGGAAAAAAGATAGGAAGGTAATCAAGATCCACTATATAAATTTTGGAGACCATGCAAAGAGTAGATCTGATTATTTCCCCAGATTTACTGCCTAGACTCCGGTTAGAATCCGCCCAGTACCCTCACTTGTATTGTACTGCTTGTCTTCCTTGCAGAACTTTAAATTCTGGTAAATAAATTTTTTAAGCTATTTGGTCTCCTACATTTTTACATCTGTTGAGCAACAAATTAGATACAGAAACCATCAGTATTCAAATAATGTTGCATAGCTACAGCTGCCATATTCTTTTCAGCGATGTATATATTCCTAACATTGAATCAAGCATTTTGGAAAGCACATACATAATGAAGTTTGTGGCTTCTTGATTTTGTTCTTGAAACATCTTTTCCATATAAATCTTGCCCCCACCCTCAGTCTAGAATGTTGAAAGTTCCCATTGTCCTCTCAATTTACTTTTGAAAGAGAGATGAATGAGATGGCAGTTGCATAAAGAGATACCATTATTAGTCTCTTCATTACATTCTAAAAATATACAATAGCACAATAGTCTACTATATTTTATCCAGAAAATTTTGCCCCCCCTCCAGTAATAATAGTAGTACAGCAAATATTTGGTCTGATAAGAATGAGAAGGGGAAAGTGCCATTTGGAAGTGTCTCTGCTTCCAAAGCCAATGTTTTAATGTGCAATACTCATTAAACCTTGAGAGAGTCCAGTTCCTCAATCCAAATTGAAATAAAAGTTGTTGGTAAATGCTTCAGGGACTTTGGATCTCCTTGAAACAGCTTTAAAACTAATTTATGATTGGAAAGAAATGGTGATGTGAGGTAGGGAAATTGCAGAACGTATTTTTGAAATTTTCAAAATCCAGGAGAGATCTATTTTTAACTAATATATTTTTAGCAACGTTTCTGATAAAACGGACAGGAGAGATAATGCAGTGTTATCTGCAAGGAAGAACAAAACGTTGTAACATGAATAAATATATTATGGATAATATGTTATCTTGAGTACCATAACAAGGGGTGTTTTGTTTTGTATGTAATCTGTCTCAAAGCTTTCAATTGCAGCCAAAATCTTTTACCAGACAAGTTTGAATCACGGTGAATTTGTGGGCATATCGGTTATTTTCTTGGTAACAATATGATATTGGTTCTCTGTTACCTTCACTGATTTTTTTTTTAAATGGGAATTTCTGATGATCATCCATCAAAGAGATAGCTGTGTGTAATCTTTTTCAAAGCAGCCTTGAAGCATCAAGACAACTGTATCCTATATAAAGTTCTGCTTATGCATTGAGGATCTTCCTGGTTGTTCCCATGAACAGAGTATGTTCCATACATGAACAGAGCAGAGGAACTGAAAGCAACATGACTGTGTGAATATGCACATGAAAGAATCCTATGAAAGTTGTCAAAGCAGCTGAATCAATCCTTCAAAGTGTTTCCCTTTCAATGTTTCAAGGAAAAGTTATTCTCCTAATTACAGATTAGTGTTTATTTTTGTTGTTGTAGGCTTGTACACTTGAGTGATAATGTTTTGTTTTAGGCACTTCAAGAAATTGATGGTTGAAGTAAGATTACAAGCAAGAACTTTTTAGATTGCACCTCATTCTCTTAATCATTGCACTTTAGAAAGTATTTTTTTCATTTAGTCTGAATAAATCATGTCAGATGTTTTTTTCAATATATCAGGGGAAGTTTTCGCCTTCAAAGTGGTTAAAAATAGCTTAATTGTATTACTTTGATCTACCTCTCACTGTGTATTCATTAATTTCATGTTTGCTTTACAGATCATCTCTCTATTGGCTAAATCGCATCCAGTCCTTCCTTTACTGCAATGAAAATGGCCTCTTGGGCAGCTTTTCCGAAGAGACTCATTCATGTACGTGCCCGAATGACCAGCTTGCCTGCCTTGGCTCCCTACCATGTAGTGTGGGAGATGGTTCTGCCTGCCTGACCTGTGCGCCTGATAATCGTACCCGCTGTGGGACCTGTAACACTGGATACATGCTGAGCCAAGGGCTTTGCAAGCCTGAAGTGGCAGATTCCACAGAACATTACATTGGGTTTGAGACTGACCTCCAGGATTTGGAGATGAAGTATTTATTGCAGAAAACGGACCGCCGGATTGAGGTCCATGCCATCTTCATCAGCAATGACATGCGTCTCAATAGCTGGTTTGACCCGTCCTGGCGCAAACGGATGCTTCTTACCCTAAAGAGCAACAAGTATAAATCTAGCCTAGTCCATATGATCTTGGGAATGTCTCTTCAAATTTGTCTTACTAAGAACAGCACCTTGGAGCCTGTCCTGGCTGTTTACATCAACCCTTTTGGAGGCAGCCACTCTGAGAGTTGGTTTATGCCTGTCAATGAAAACAATTTCCCAGACTGGGAGCGGACTAAACTGGACTTACCACTTCAGTGTTATAACTGGACGCTGACTCTAGGCAACAAGTGGAAGACGTTTTTTGAAACAGTCCACATTTACTTGAGGAGTCGTATAAAGTCAAATGGCCCCAATGGCAATGATAGCATCTATTATGAACCCCTGGAGTTTATTGATCCCTCCCGAAACCTGGGCTATATGAAAATCAACAGCATCCAAGTGTTTGGCTACAGCATGCACTTTGACCCGGAAGCAATCCGAGATTTGATTTTGCAACTGGACTACCCCTATACTCAGGGATCCCAGGACAGTGCACTCTTACAGCTACTAGAGATACGGGACCGTGTAAATAATCTTTCTCCTCCTGGTCAGCGTCGTCTAGATCTTTTCTCATGCCTACTGCGTCACAGACTCAAGCTTTCTACCAGTGAAGTGATGAGGATTCAATCGGCTTTGCAGACCTTCAATGCCAAATTGCCAAACACAATGGATTATGACACAACCAAATTATGTAGTTAACCATAAATGTGAAGCACAACAGAAAAACAAACAAATCATGGAGGCGTTTTTACAGTGCTTTTGTGGAACAGTTTATGTCTGGAAGAGTAAATTTAAATTGTCTTTTCAATATCTGTCTTATATCAGTCAATAACGTTGGATGGCAATTTACACCCATGAACTTGCTGACAAATGAATATATTATATCTGCAATTTTTTTTGGCTTTGTTTTATGAATGAAAATAAATACTGACACCTGTCTAGGAGACATTCTACTTTTTACAATAAATTTCATTTGTAATTTTATATGTTCCGTGGCAATGCTTTTGTGCATTACATCCTCTAGAGGAACATAAAAGGATACCAATAAAATTTTGTAGCTGAACAGTTATTAAAAAGAAATGCTGTGGGATTCATTTTTTTCCCTTTCCAGAAGTGAATAACATCTTTGATACTGTAATGTGTGACCAGAAAGTTGGGTAGAGGAGACAGAGGAATACCAATCAAAACAAGACTTAAAAGCAACTTAATATAAAATTCTTCTGTAACTCTTGAGTCATAAATCTGAGTGTTCCTGTCAAAGCAAAATGCCATTTCTTATTGATGACTTATTTGTACCTTAACCTGCTGACATGGAAGGACTTTGCTTTTTCAGGATGTTGTACTGTGTCATACAAACAGTATATCTCTAGTGGCCACATTTTCTGTTTTAGAAAAGATAGAGCTCTGCACACTCTAGTATGGTTTAAAAGAAAAGTGAATACAGGAAATGTGTCCAGTCTCAGGGGTCTCAGACAGGAACATCAGCCAATGTGTAAGAGGCACTTATATCAAGAGCCATTCACAAATGCCATGTTGCACCCAAAGTGTACACCATTTCTCCTGCTTTTATTTAAAGACAACTAAGGTGACAAATGAGTTGACCATCTTATACCCATCATAATATTGTCCCATCTGTCTGTCTATCTATTTATCTATCTGTCTGTCTGTCTATCTATCTATCTATCTATCTATCTATCTATCTATCTATCTATCTCTATCCATCTGACATACAGCACAGGCAATTTGGCAGTGATCATTTCAGGTTTTAGATTCAAGTTGTACTTGAAAATATGACTCAAGCCTGGTAAATATCAGCAGATATGTCTAATATAATCACTCATTATTGGGTCAGAGCCTCCCCTGGTCTCCACTGCCCTTCTTATTAGAATGACTGCAACTTAATCCAAGGTGATTGCTGTATGTGAGTAGAGCAATCTTAAATCTCTTGTTCAAATATAGTTTGTGTGCATTCAAGAAATTGCACGTAGAAGAAATTGCACCAGTTAAATGTAGGATGGTCCCTGGCTCAGCCAAAGGATAGTAAACATTTAGAGATACCTTATTTGTGTGACCTTTGACACTCTTCTTAAGCACATTAGACTTACATTAGACTTTATTTTTCTCTTTCCCTTTCACATTCATTCTAATGTTTTAGGTCCACAAATTATATAAAATCAAAGAAAAGAAAAGAAAGAAAGAAAGAAAGAGAGAGAGAGAAAGAGAGGGAGGGAGGAAGGAAGGAAGGAAGGAAGGAAGGAAGGAAGGAAATAGACTTGACTTTTCCTTTCTCCCTTACATTGCTATGTTCATGTCTAAAGTAGGGGTCTCGAGTGGTTGTTTGTTTTTATTGTTTAACAGCCATGTGTGAGGTACCAATCTTTGTTAGTTACCCCTGAGCCAGAGGTGGGTTTCAGCAGGTTCTGACCAGTTCTGGAGAACCGGTAGCAGAAATTTTGAGTAGTTCGGAGAACCTGTAGTAAAAATTCTGACTGGCGCCGCCCCCATCTATTCTCTGCCTCCCAGGTCCCAGCTGATTGGGAGGAAATGGGGATTTTGCAGTAACCATCCCTTGGATTGGGGTGGGAATGGAGATTTTATGATATTCTTCCCCTGCCACGCCCACCAAGCCATGCCCACCAAGCCATGCCCACCAAGCCACACCCACAGAACTGGTAGTAATTTTTTTTGAAACCCTGCACTGCCCTGAACTGAAGATTACCTACTCTGTAAAGCAGTCACATTTTTATCTTACCCCATGCTTAATACAAAGGGGATGACTTCAGCCAAAGACCTAAAGGACAATACATAAAACTAAGTTCAAAGCACATGAGCACAATCATGCTCAATCATCTCTACATTCAAACTTGAATTGCCACAAAGGTGATTTAATATGCAGCTATGTCTATAATTGCATATGGCTGCAACAATATATCTTTTAAAGTCCATTGTTAAAGGTTGTTGCAATACACACAAGCCTAGGCTAAAATGTTTATTCAGAAGTCTATCACCGCAAGTTTTAAACATGTTTGGATCTTGGGAAAGCTCGGCAGCATTGAACCTCACTGATTTCATTGATTTGGAGATTGTCAAATGTTCCAGGACTGTGGATAAGACAGGGAAGTTGAAAAACATCCTGAAGGAAAGGAACAGCAAACTCTTTTTATATTGTGGCAAGAAAACAAAATGGACCTGTCCATGCAGTTATTAGGAATGAGACATGAGACAAAGAGAGTTTTTGGATTTATTGTTTGATCAGGATCGGCATAACACTAGTGCGGATGGTAGAAAGCATGCTACGAGCCTCATCAATCAGGGTGTTCAGGCTGGTGGGGGTCCAGAAGAAGAGCCTTCTCTGCTATTGCACTTGCCTTCTGGAATATCTCTCCCTGATCTTTTTCAGCTGGGTTGATTTTATAGCATTGTACAGATGTTATTATAAATTATACAGTTTTATCTTTTAATAGTGTAAGCCATTCAGAGTTACTGTATCATGTGGCAAGACGGGCAGATAATTAATTTTACAAATACATACAGTACATACATACATACATGCATGAATAGTTGTGCCACTTCAGCTATCTGGCTGGATAAGGACCACCGTGTGACATGTTCAAGGTTTCATATCAGAGATGGGTTTCAGCAGGTTCTGATCAGTTCTGGAGAACAATAGTGGAAATTTTGAGTAGTTCAGAGAACCGGTAGTAAAAATTCTGACTGGCCCCACCCTCATCTATTCTCTTCCTCCCAAATCCCAGCTGATTGGGAGGAAATGAGGATTTTGAAGTAACCTTCCCCTGGAGTGGGGTGGGAATAGAGATTTTACAGTATCCTTCCCCTGCCACACCCACCAACCCATGCCACGCCCACCAAGCCACACCCACAGAACCGGTAGTAAAAAAAATTGAAACCCACCAAGTGTGGATGGACTCTGAAACCAGAGGTGCCTGATGGGAGTTGTTTTAAGAGATGATGAATACACTTTAGATATCTGCAGAACATAACTCTCCCATTTAACCCCATAAATATCCCCCATTTTTAAAAAATGAGGAAAGAGACTAAAATTTTATAGCAATAGCAGTAGCACTTAAACTTACCTACTGCTTTACAGTGCTTTACAGCCCTCTCTAAGCGGTTTACAGAATCAGCATATTGCCCCCAACAATTTGGGTCCTCATTTTACACACCTCAGAAGGATGGAAGGCTGAGTCAACCTTGAGCCAGGTGAGATTTGAGCTGCCAAATTGAAGGCAGCTGGCAGTCAGCAGAAGTAGCCTGCAGTACTGCACTCTAACCACTGCGCCACTGCGGCTCATGTATATAATTACATGAAGCAGAAAAAAAATCAAACCCCTATCTATGACATAGGTATGATATATAACTATATCTATTAAAAAGGAATTGACTTTCAATCCCATGATAGTGTGCAGTGCACACTCTCTTGACTCTTTGACATTTGCTGAGAATGCCTCTGGCTAGGAGCATTGAACTTATTTTAGATTATCAGTCTAAAAAGTGGGCTCAGGACAAAATCTGGTTCAGTGGACTGTACTTATCGAGGACAATATTCACTTTATTAACATAGGCAGGTATTATACATCTGTTTTTAAATATGATATTGGTTGAGTAATGACTGTTTTATGCAGTTTCAACATAAATTTAGCATGAATCAGTATTACATAACATCACCTAAATGATGCATAGGAGTTGTCATGATCTTATCAGATCATTTACAATTTTCCCCAAACAATGTCAGATATTTTTCTGAGGGGGACTCATAAATATTGTTAAGAATAAAAATCATATTATGACAACTTAATGATGTGTGGCAACTTCCCACTAGTCCTTGAGAAATGTTTCAAACCCACTCTTTTTTTTTTTTTGAAGTATTAAGTATTTAATTTATTGCTAAAAGGGATTGACAAATTGACTTTTAATTTAATTTTAAGCAGAAATTAAAAACAGTGTACTAATTCCTTGATTCCCCATTGATTTTGTTCTCTGGGGAAATGTTTTGTATTTTATAAAAAACCAACAATGCTAGTTGTATAATGAGCTTTTCCACTCCCCCCCACCCACCCACCCCCAAAAAAATCCAATATGTACTTTGAAAATTAGATACTGGTCCTGGTGTTAACTTGGATACATAATTATTTTCTGGCAGAAAGTTTTACATTTTATTAATTAGTAATGTGACCAATACGCTGAACAATAAACTAGCATAGATAGTAGTCATTCATAATACATGGTTGTGTTTATTCTTTAAAATTTAAAATATTAATGTTCTACTTTTTTCTTTCTAAAAGTTCTTCAGGCAACTTGGACCCTCATGTAATTATTTTCTTTCTCATTCATTTCAAAAAGCTTTGGGTCCATGAGAGCTTCTTCCTTTTTTATTTTTAATGAAAATCAACATTCCTTGGGCAAAACTGTAGGACTTTGAGATTTTTTACCTATGAATTAAGTCAACTGAGATTTTTATTTTTATAAGGAAGGCTCCAACATGCATTCTACAACTATATCTACCGGTATTCTTAGCTGTTTCTTGGTGAAATGCAATATAAATCATAATGCAAACCCTATCTCTTTGTACTTATACCTTAGAGTGGAAGGTAATACATATGAGTTGGGGTTTGCGTTGTGATGTCACAGTGCATGTTTCCCACTTTTAATTATTTAAATAAATGGTGTATTATTTTTCATGCCAGGAAGAGTCATCTAAGTAATCGATGAGTACCTTTGAGCAGAATGAAGACACATACCATGCCCCAAACCAAATTTGGCTAGACAGTGATATCACCAAGGGCAAACAACGACAAAAAAGACAAGACAAACAAGACAAGGCAATGGAAACCAACAGGTGAAGAATACCTCAGTTGCCTTTGGAACTTCTTTGACAGATTCAATTATGCATTTTATAATTGGCAGCCACATTATCCAGTCGATGATCTCCTGCTGCTGCTGTCTCTCACACAAATACACACACATTTTTAACCCAGATACATTACATTACAGTTTTCCCCCAATGACTATCATATCCATGCTCACTACATTTCAAACATGCTTTATTATGTATAAAGTAT